ATTATAAGATGGCTCCCTATGACCATGCTGTTTGATAATTAGGTAATTTGGGGTCAACTTTATTCCAATGGCTAAAAAGTTTTAGGAATTTATCCTTAGGGGATATGAAAATGTTGACTTTAGTGATAGGACAAGAAAGAGAATTATAGTGCAAATACCCATATATATAACAAAATTAATAAATCATTTTATATTGAAAATGGACCCAAAATTCCTTTCTGCCTAGAGCTAAAAACATAATAGTTATTAAAGGATTAATAAAATTAAACTTTAGTCGAGTATGAATACAATCAAACCAAATAACTTAAACTCCCCACAAATTTAATATTTATGACCAAGCCTAGTAGAGTGCTTATTTGACAAGCATTATGCTTAGTTGAGATGCATAAAGGGAGGTATTTAACTCTAAACTAAAGTTTTGTTGTGTTGAAATCTATGTTTTTCACTACTATATGATGGATACATGTTTTTACAATACAAGGTTTGTCTTTGATAGACTATATACCCTAGTTTAAAACATTATTATAATAATAGGATGTTCAAAATAGAAAAGAACAAATTAGTTGAAGTCCCAAAATTTCAATTAGTTGTTGTGCTTTTTAAATATTATGCTATATTGGAGAGAAGGTAGCTGACGAGATTATTGAGAGGTGGATAAGAGTTTAACTAAAAGAGCACTAGGTAAGTTTATTTGTAACTGATCAGATTCTATGGTTATAATTAATATTGGTGCCAGTTAACATACTAGCTTGTTGGATAATTAGGTCTAGATTTTCACGAGATGTCATATTTGGCTTCTGAAGATGATTAAGTAAGAAAAGGGTTGGAGCAAGGGGAGATGGAAACAGTTTGGAAGTAACAAAAGGAGGTGGAATAAACACAAGGCAATCAAAACATCGATGTGAATAAATACAAGTGGTAATGGAAATGGAAACTAAATTTCAAGCATGACTCATGCTTGAAATAGAAAACTTGTCGGAGAAAACTTAAAACATACTCTTTTCATTACTTTAAAAAAAAAACGGAATTCCTCTATAAATCAATTGATAAACAAGTAATAATAAATGTAATATGATGAATTTAACTATATTAATATTATTATTATATTATAAAAAAAGTGTAATTTTGTTAAATTTGTGTCCCATTAGGAATAGGGACTTGATGAGTAACCAAATTATATAATATTACTCTCATTTCTACCCACGATGAATAAATAAATAAATTCAAATAAAAAGACATTATATGTTATTTATACACACGAATGTGATGAATTTTTCATGTAAGCTTTTTTTTTTTTTTTAAATGTACAGGTATATATATATATATATATAAATGCAGATAATAGTTGCAGCATAAACTTTAACCGGGACCCACGAGATCATGGCAGCAAAGATACAGTGGACCCAGAAACGATTTTCCCGCTCCCAGAATACGACAAAACGCCACGCTAAAAACGCAGCTCGTGCATTTGAAAGCCGAGCTAAGAAAGAGTGGAACAGGCAATGACCGATAAACCAGTCAAGCCGGTGATAAAATGTGTGACCGTACGGCACATGGCAGGTCGTTTCCATGGCAGTTGGTAAGCATTTAGTGTGTGCTTTGCTTCTCTTCTTCTATTTCTATTTATATATTTTTTTTAAATTACTTTTTTTTTCTTAAATATATATATATATTATCTCTGTATTTGATGTTTGTGTGTATCTATTTTACCTTATTATCTTCCTCTTTCTCTCTCTCTCTCTCAAAAGCTGTGCATTTTCAGGTCTCATTTCAAAATCTCATTCCTACTGCATTTAAACTCTCTGATCCGATATAAACCCCAAACACCTCACCCCGAAATCCTCCGGTTTCGCGCATGGTTTAAACTTTCTATTCCCACAGACAGGTACTCTTCATCTTTTATGTTTCCTAAAACCTCTCTGTTCTTCTTTGCTTTTTTTTATTCAACAATTCCTTCATTCAATTCATTCCCTGAACTGAGTTGATGATACTCCTTTTGCTTGTTTTTCAGACACAGATATATTGTGCATAAAGAAAGACAAACTCGGTTCTCAAGGATTTTATTTCATGTTTCTTCTTTACTGTTTTTTTTTTTCTTTCTGTACTCGCATGCTTTCAAACATAACGAGCTCAAAATTAGTGGTTTTGGCTTTTAATCAGGGTCGATTTTTTCTCTCTCTCCTCATTCAGTTTTCCTGGAAAATTCAACAAGGAATTAACATTGCATTGCTTTTTATAGCAAATGTTGCATTGTAATTAACTATAAGGTTTATTAGTGTCATCATTCTTTTGGATATTCTGACCATTTGGCTTTAGATTTTCGACAAATTTGATTTTCTAAATTTGGATATTCTTCTCTTCCCTCTTGAAATTTTCCCTGCGACCAAACGAGTTCTCTGTTATACAATTTTTTTTTTTTTTAGAAAGGTTCAGATTGGATTAGAAATTGTTGTATTTATCAACTATTTTTTTATTTGGAAATTATTTTGAGTGGGATCAATGTTAGTTCTTATTTATTGATTATTATTTACTTAAATTGACCTTGAGTGTATAATTTTCAGCTTCAATTGTGACACCACTGTGGCTTGGGCTTGAATACTTGTAATTTGGACCATTTATTGCGATCAAACTGAGCCCGTGAACCAGTGACGGGGTTCGTTCATCGAGGCTGTTCGCATTCAACGCTTCCTCAAAGTATTCGTGTCAGAATAGGATATTCTCTCTCTGTTAATGGAAATTAATTTCTCTCTGTCTGGGTTTTTCATGACGATTGTGCATTTTTTTCTACAGGAATTTTCATTGGAAGGATTCATTTCCACTCTGTAAGAGAAGTATTCAGAAGTATTGTTTTAGAAGGCAAATTTTGGCCAATTGCTAAAATTCCACTAATACGAGCAAAACCCTTTGAGAAAGAAGCTGGCCAATTGTGTTTGATTGATGGGTTATCTTTAAGCCAACTATCGGGTTTTTTCTGGTGACGGGAGATTTAGAGATTTTGGGTGTTGGATTCCTGTCAATTGCTCTTTCTTTAATTTATAAAAGCTTAATTTATCCAAAATTTGGCGGGTGAAATTGAGGTCAACGAAATGCTGGAGTCTGAATTGTGCTCAGCTCGAGTTCTCTCACCTTTTCGTGAGGAAAGTGGCGATGAAGAGCTCTCTGTTCTTCCCAGGCACACCAAAGTTATTGTCACAGGAAACAACAGAACAAAGTCTGTTTTGGTGGGCTTGCAAGGTGTGGTGAAGAAGGCTGTCGGGCTCGGTGGTTGGCATTGGCTGGTATTTCTTCCTTCCTGCCTGTTTTTCCTTGTAACTCACTATGAGCACTAATTTAATGGTATTTCATCTTTAATCAGTTTATTGATTAGGTATCATCACGAAAAGCAAATAACAATTTTCTAGCTCTGTATTTTTTCACAAGTATCCCGAAGAATTTATTCCGTCATGATCCCAGGATTTGTCTTTAGCATTCCGACATAAGCGTATTAGTCTTTGGGGGGTAAAAGAACTTGCTTCCTTTAGGTGTTTTTCTCTACGTTAATTTAGTTTTAATTGTTTTATTCTAAAAACTTAAGTCGGATGGAATCTGAAGCGGTATTTAGTTGCCATGTATACTGACTTCTATTCTATGTCGGTTTCTCTACTTGCCCTATTATGACTTAAAGACTGGCTAGACGTGGCTATATATTCTTTTATGATTTAGGGTTTGGGCTTTATCTTTTCCCCGAGATTGAAGGTAGCTGTCTCGTCTCATAACTCATCTTGTTCACAGTCTTCCATGAGTAATCAAGTAAGTTGGACGTTCCTCACGTTCTGAAGCTAGTGACTGCTTGTGACTAGTAATTTCTTTATGTAATTTTGCCTACTGTCCCCAAATCTAAAAGAACATGGGGAACTAAACAATTATATCTTGTCTGAATATAAAACCCCTGTCTATAAATTTATAAAAACCTAAAATTTCAATCTATCACATGGCATATATGACTCGAATCTATTACACGTGACAATTTCAATATGAAATTTATACTTAATAATATATTTTGTGGTAGTTATCGTTTTCTTCTCCTCCAAAAGGGCCTTTATGAATCCTTCAAAGATGAATATCCATCTCTTACAAAACCTAGAAGCTAGAGTTTTTGCAGTAGAGGAAATCTGTGATTCCTTTCTTCAGTACCTTGTTATGATGATTTTTTTTTGTGAGAAGATATGGTAACTTCAGCTCTGTTTGCAGTTAGACTAATTAAAAATAGATTAGTTTATTAAAATTAATTGAATTCTTTGGAGTTGATTTCAAAAATCAAACCTAAAAAAGAAATGGCAGGATAATGTTTGACTCATAGATTGCGGATTTGATCTCAGTATGCAGATGCACAATTCTGATAGGAGGTTACCAGAACTTGTATTTGACAGATTATTCTCTGCTAAGTACCTTTATTAATTAAATTTTTATGGGATTAAACGTCAAACAATTAGTCAATTCAGATACTCTCATCTTTCAGTCAAATATGTTCTATCCATATCCATATTATTGGTGGTTTATGGGTGTCTCTTTTGTTACTTGGTAGCTTGAAGTTGAATATTCATCTTTCAGTTGAATATGTATTGTTACTTTCCTCTTGTCAGTTTATTGGCAATTCGACTAGCTTTATCATATAGTTAGCATGTGAGCAGTACTTTTTAAGACCACTAATTCTTCTTTGTGCAGGTTCTGAAGAATGGTGTTGAGGTTAAGCTGCAGAGGAATGCACTCTCTGTCTTGGAACATCCTACTGGAAATGAAGTAGATGAAGATGATTTTGATAACTCCAGCAGTGGCTCAGACATTTGTGAAAAGGATCATGATTTTTGTAAGCTAATCAATTTATGCCTGATAAAACCATAGTTTCAGTTTTGAGTTTATGACCTATCAGATTCAGCATTCAAGTATCTAAACTTGCAGTTGTCTTTAAATTATATTTTTCCCTTGGCAGCTAGTGGTATTGAGTTTCATAGACTTAGCAAACCAAGAGTTAGGCAAACAAGGCCATGGATTCCATCTTCATCGACAAAGACTAATCGCAGTAGTTACAGAGATGTTCAGTCCATTATTCATGCACCTCAACCAGTAAGGACTTGAATATACATATGTTGATATATAGCATGACTGTTTGCAGCTTGCAACTGAGATTGTTAAACATGAAAATAACCATATTGATGTTGGAACTGTTGGCTGAAATTATTCTGAGATTACAACAATATCTAATACATTCTTATTATGGTATTTGGTTTATTTTGCATAGTTGGCAGAATTATAATATTTTTGCATAATTTAAAGTCAGTTATGGGAGTGGAAAGGGAGAATATACTGCAATACTAATTCCGTTTGCCAATTGCTTTCAGAAAGTGAACCTGGCAAAGTTGGAAACGAGCTCATTGGGGAGATATTGCAAACACTTTAACCTTGTAGGTTATGTTTGACTTGTCAGATTTAATTTGCTTTCCTTGAGAAGGTTTAGATAATATGATTTCAGCTGAAATCTATTCAATTATGAAACTCTAGGCTGGCATCGGTTCTGATTCATCAAGGGAACAGATGCTGAGGGCTGCACAGAAACATTTTATTTCACAGGTCTCTCTCGTTCCCTCCCACACTATCACACCCACAAAAACACAAGCCGATCCTTACTGAGACATGACTGCACCATGTATGTATTATGTGTATCTGAATTCTAGTTCATGGTTGGGTGTGCAGGTGCGATGTAACGAGGCACAAGTGATATCTGAGTTCATAGTTGCGGCAAAGAGACTGAAGAAGAGCGGGCAGTGAGGAGGTTTGGATGTTAAAATGCATTGTATAATTATATAACGTATAAACTCTAACCTTTAGGTCAGGATCTAATCATAGGTTAATGTGGGAAGAAGGGTTAGTTGGCAATCCCAATTTCTTCCAGAACTCTTAACCCTGCACTTGTATGTCTACAAAAATGAGGATGGGTGTGGATAGATTTGAATGTGACTTGAAAAAAAAAAAAAAAAAAAAACTGGCATTGGTTGATGGATCAAATTAAACTATGGATTGATGGTAGATTTGGTAAGAGTAAAAAATTTAAATTGAGATTGGACTGTGGCAACTGAACCTTTAAAAACTGTTTCCAATGGTTGTAGGAGATGATCACATCCGCATAGGTAATTATATAATTGGATTAATATTAGAAATTGGAAAATAATAATTATAATAGTAGTAGAAGGCCAGGCTGGCATTTGGTGTCACGAGTGTTGGGTGATGTGGACGTAAAAAATTCACAATCATTTATTTATTTATTTTAATAATTAAAACATCAAAGTGGGATGTGACATCCTCCCTCTCCGTTCCATTCTTGGCTTTCCAACCAAAATAATAATAATCAATCGTTTCCGTATTTATTTTTTCTATGAATGTGTACTGAATTTTTATTTAATTTAATATTATAAGCTTATATGGCACTTTTAACTCAATTTATGTAACAAAAATGTTGGCTTATATTAAAATAAATATGCTTTTTGAAATTGAGGATTGAAATATAAGTTCAAAAATAGAATAGAAATTTCATTTTTGAATTCACACTTAAGTGTATAAATTATATTAATGTAGATTTATGGAGTTTAGAATGTGTTGTTTTAACCTACTTTTAATTCATAATATCGTATTAAAAAAAATGATAATTTTAATTGGTGTATTAAAATTAATATGAAAATTGAAAGGTAATAATTAATTTACATGAAAATACATATATAATCAAATCATGTGCGAACAAAACCAACCATAAATTTTCTTCCTCTCTCTCAACGTATTCATGTAAATTCCTAGCTCAGGCCTTGGCATTGTGAGCAGAAAAGTATTATTAGGGTGTTAATAGAGAGCCCATCTATTTTAATTTTATTTATTTTTAGAATTATTATCTCTAATCCTGACAAAAATATTATGACATAGTATTTTAATTATATAATTAATTATTTGAGTTTAATCGATAAATAGAATGGAGCTCGTTAAATGTTGAAAAAAATAAATTAGCGTATAAAAGAGGAGACATAAGTCTTTATGTTTGTAAGATGCGAGAGTCCAACAATGTAAAAATTCTCTAATTTTGAAAAACACAAAGTTAACATAATTAAAATTCACTTTACTATTACTATTAATTACATATAATATTTTAATTATATTATTAAGAAAAACACAAGCTTAACACATTTAAACTATTATCATAATTAAAAAATTAAAAGTGAAAAAGGTAAAAGTAAAAAAAAAAAAAAAATGATTAACACGTGTCCATCAGAAAAGCTGAAAATGTGAATCTTGGAAGTACCTATTTGTCTTCAAGTTAATATGGGATTTATTTGAGGTTAATATGAATGTGTAAATAAATATAAAATAGAATTTAAAAAGCATATTTAAAGAATAACAAAAAGGAATAGCCATTGTAAAAGGTCTATACAGTAGAAAAAAAAAAAACATTTTGTTATTCAATTGAAAAAAAAAAGAAACATGTTGTTATTCAATCTCCCTCGCTAATATCTCATACATTTCTTTATTTACTATTGTATTTTTTTTTTTTTACTATTTTTATTTTGCGAGTAAAATCAATACAAATGTTAATTAATTTGCATGCTAGTTTATCAGTATGTAATGAATATATTTTTATTGATAAATAAAAAATATAAATTTAGAGCAGACGATTTCAATTCTTATAAAATACTTCAACTTGTATAATTTTTTAATTTTAAATTTTTTTTCCTAAACATTGTTTTAGTGTTTGTATTTTTTCTTATCATTTCTTGTTATAATAATATTATTAATAAATATTATGAGAGTTGTAACTTCTCATGCTTCCGAGTGATCTACTTGAGTATGTTTAAATATCATATTTATCATCATCCTTGCGTATAAATTAAAAACAAATTACTTGATTTAAGGATAATCTTGTTGTTAATCAAAACTAAATCTCACAATATGCTAATCTCCTGGCTACCTACGTGCTGTCACGACACGATGCAGCAAGTAGATTAGAGCGGTCAAAGTAGGAAGCGTTAGGGAGAGTAAAACCCACTCATTAACTGCACAGAGTAAAATTATTAAAAAAATTAAAAATTAATATTTAATTAATGAAACTATAAATAAAGGAGTCCACCTTTCTCAGTGCAACTGCAAACAGCCCTTCTTTTGAAAGTTCTTTCAGAATCGAATAGTTGTGGTAATGATGTTGAAAACTCTCTTTACCTTCACGTGCTTTCTCTCCATTTTCTTTTTTCATTTGTAGGTTTCTCTGTACGCGAAAACGATAAAATCTGTGTTTGTATTCATCGATTACCTCTCTCTCTTTCCCTCTCAATTTTTTTTTTTCCTCTCTAGTTTGCCCAGTCTTATTTGATGGCTTTGCTTTCTTTTTTTTTTTTTTTTTCTTTGTTTAAGCTGAGATAGTCTCTGAATTTCGTACAGCTGTGTTTTGTTTTTTTCCTTATTCGCTCAGTTGCCGTTGTGGTTTTTGATGGATTATGGATTACAATAGCATCGCTTAGGGTTCTGTCGATTGGATTTCGATTACAGTTGTGTGATTTTGGAGTTATTTATGTTTTTGAATTGGTTAGAGGGTGATTCCGTGCTTTAGCTATCAATATTCGTTTTGTAACTGATGAGTGGATTTAGGCTTGTTTTAGGGAGAACTTGATGATTGAGCTCTTTCGGTTATAGTCATATGATTTTTGTTGTGTTCTGCTGCTTCTTCTTTTGGAACTTCCCTTCTAGCTTCGTGCAATGGTCGGTTCTATCAAGAAATGAATGTTTATTGATTTTATGGGTTCAGTTTTGCTGCCTTTTTACTGGTAGGACCACTTGTATTTAATTGCTGCACACAAAATCTGTACTAGGATTTCTGTTTCCGTCAAACCATGTCTTCTGTTTCTTTAGATTTTCTTATTAAAAACGCGACAGTCTTGAATTTTAGTTTAATATTCTTGAGCCTGTATTTTCGAGAGATGTAATTTGAGAAAGATAAACTCAGTTCAGTTATAGGGGCTACAAATAGATCTTGATGCCTAGTATGTGGAGATTGAATGAAAAGCAATGTTCTTGCTTGTCTGCAGAGGTCCTACCAATATCGATTAAGAGAACTTTAGCATTAGGTTGTTATGTGCATCGCACAAGTTTGTATACCAATCATTATGTCATTATTAACCTTCTAGAATTTTAAAGGCTGATTGTTACCATTGTCATTATTAAAGGCTGATTTTACTACTATAGCCTGGAGTTGGGAGAACCAATGACATGAGATGCATCTCTCTGTGTTTATGGTGTGCTTGTTTCCTTTGTTGTCTCAGTTGTTCTTGAAGACTTCTTATGCAACTAGTCTTTTCGACCAAACTTTTTGCTCAATTGTTTTGTTTGTGCTTTTGTATGTGTTATCAGCATCAATACCATGCTATCTTTTATGTGTGAGTTTTATCTGGTTACAAAGTCGTTAAGCGTAATATTATTTGTGCTTCCTCTGACAATGTTTTTTCTATTCTGAAGAGCAAAAGATAATGCACCAAGTGAATATGAGTTTAGATTGGCAGCAGAAATAAGTTTATAGAGAATGGGAGGCTGCTGCTGTTGTTCTTCAAAAGGACCTGACTTAAATGTGACAACAGCATACTATTATGTAGGTATATCATTTTTTTTTTGTTCTTCTCTTCTTTAGTTCAGTCTCATTTAGCGCCGAGCACAATGGTGTCATCATTGTAAATAGAAAATAATGAATTAAGATGCAGCAAAGATCTGGAGTACTTCTTATGATAGTTCAAGCACATAGATAGAACTGTCTATCATTTTATGCAAGTACGATTCAAGTAGCAAATTAGTTTTTATTTTAACCTCAAATTTTAAAATATTGTGGAGGTGTTTGGAGTTGTTTATCTTATGTTTATCAGCAGCGCTAAACTCTTTTTTCCATTCTCTCTGTTGGTAAAAGATGCTCACTAGGTTTTAAAAAGACTTTAAAGAAGTTAAAAATAAACATCTTGTTTCTAATTTTTTAGCTTCCTCTTTTTTTTCTCTGACAAATTTCATTCAAATCTCTCTTCATATACAGTTAAAATTAACAATATGTAGAATAACTTAAATTATGAAATATTGATAATAAAAAATATTCTTGTAAAGAAATAATTATTTATTTTTGCAATTAACTCTATTGAAACATATAACTTCTATTTTTAAACCAGAATCTATTTGCTTTAAGTGCTTAAAGTACCCTAGTACATTTAGTAATATGTGCACAATCAATGGAACTTTTGTTATGCAAAATTAATGGTGGAATGCCAGCCTTTTTTTTTTTTTTTTCCCCTGAAAAGAGACTGCTGAGTCTTAATCTCTCTAATCTCTACAAGGCCATGTGATTAGTAAATTAAAATTAAATCCAGATTAATATGGGGATGAGAAATGTACTTTGTTTCACAGCAACAATGCTGTGCGTATAATCAAATTATTGCTTTTCTTTTCATTTTGTGATTAAACTTCACCACATCTGCAGTATCCAAGAGAATCAGAAGAGCATGTTCCCCTATCACCTCATTATGGGGCTGCCTCTGCACTTTCCACAGGACTTCTGGTAGATACTAATCTAGAAACATCAGTCCCAGATGCTTATAGACCACCTCCTCCACCTATCCCTTTTGATGTGGCTTTTGGGCGTCCACAAACTCCCCCAGGATCTCAAGAGATTTGCATAGATAAGCATGATGTAGCATTGGGAACCCTAAATTCTGATTCTGTTGAAGAAACAGTTGGTGGGAATATTAAGGAGGCTTCAACTAAGTGCGAGGACTTGAAGGAAGCTGACTCGAAATCAACCCAACTTGATGTTGAATCAACCAAGGACCTAGAAGCAGAGCTTTCCAAGTTGGTCCAGCCAGTTGTTTTATCAACAGAGGAAGAGGATGTTTGTCCAACTTGTCTGGAAGGTGATTCTGCCTTAAACTCTTAGGCGACTTGCAACTTCTGAATTTCCTGTTGGAATCCAAATTCTCTGTACTTGCACCATTTTAGCTCTTTTATATGCTTATACTTTGCTACTAAGGTATTGCACTTGCAATGCTTGGAGTACAGAAATTGTGAATGTTTCTTCTGGTTACTTTGTTGCAGAGTACAGCATAGAGAATCCTAAAATTGTCACAAAGTGCGAGCATCATTTTCACCTTGCATGTATTCTTGAATGGATGGAAAGAAGTGACACTTGTCCTGTTTGTGACCAGGTTTATCTCAAAAATAGTTTTTCCATGTATTGCATAGTATAATTCATTATCCTGAGAAGTAATAACTCTGTTACGTGCAGGAAATGGTATTCGATCCTCCAATTGATTAGCTCCTTTAAGCAAGTTTTTGATGTCGGATGTTTGAGGAGCAAAGATCACAAATACTTCAGACATTCTGGTTCCCCTCTCTCCCCCTTCCTGTTAACATTGCTTTTTTCCATTGTTTGGAATCAGGCAATGCTTTTGTTTATTTGCTTTCTTTGAACGTGAATATTTTGAAAGGAAGAAGGAAAAAAAATGAAGAAAGAAAGAGGGAAGAAAAGGAAAAAAGAAACAAAAAAAATTAAAAACATGAAACTTAGATACAGATTGGCTTTACCAGTGGTTCATATGTGATGCGTCCTTTCACTTTTAGATGTCCAAATCTTGTCGATATAACAGCAACTGGCACAAAAGAAACGAGATGCTAGTTACATTTATCAACTGAACAGCCTGATAGTTACCCAAAAGTCAGATACCTCTTTGCTGGGTGTCATATTTCTGCCTATTTGCAATTTAGCCTGTGAATTTATGTTGTTTATTGATTCTGAAAGTGACGTGATTTGTTTTTCCTATTTCTGTGTCAGCGTTTTGAGTTTAGAGGATTTGTTACTTGTAAATATTTTGGGTTTGTCTCTGTTTGATGGTGGAGGTTTTGAACAGTGCAAGGATAGCAGAAGAGTCGATTAAAATTGAAAGGCCTTTTTTTTTTTTTGTTTTACATGAATCAATATACTTTTTAATCATAGATTTTGCACAGTTCAATTTTGAGGTTCTGTCTTTTACTTCATCAATTGCTTGCGTGTGATGATATTTAAGAGAGAGAGAGAGATATATATATATATATGTCTTTTACTTCACACATATATATATATATATGCTCATATACTGATGATGATGTATGGCTAGATTTGAATGTGCTACTGGAAATGCAGTATTTTGAGGAAAAGTTACATTAACCGTCTTAGTTTTGAGCCATTTGGAGTTAGTATAATATTGTTTTCCTAGTGTCTTATTCAGAACTTAAACTATCCTTAGCCAAAAATGTCTGATATATTCTCATATGTTATCATAATTTTTTATATTTAATCTAGTTTTATAATATTATTATTTTTTTGTTACTATTAAGTAATAAATAATGTTTGATAATTAAAAATCATTGTTAATTAATTATAAAAAATAATTTATTCAAGAGTATTGTCCTACTATACTTTATCTTAGGATTATCCGTCTAGACGCTAAATAAGAGCCTATGGCCACATGCCTACTTTGTAATTTGTCTCTGTAAGGATAATTTTTTTATTCAATTTAGTTTCTTTTTTGTTTTTTTGTTTTTATAAGTTCATATCCTTTCAAAAATTGTGTACATCAATCTCTTTAAGGTGTACATATTTATCACGTGTTATTAGATTTAATATATATTATTATTTTATTTAATTTTATAAAAGATAAAGTTAATTTTTAAAAATTATTTTTAATTAAAAAATTAAAAAAAAGAAAGAAAAAATTAGGAGCATAAAATTATTTGAAAAACAAAACATGTAATACTGAGCTCCCTCTCCTACCCGTCTCCTTTTCTCCCTCAGCTGCCCTGCAACCAGTAACCTCCGTCACCTCTCCTCCAAACTCCCCTTTTCTCGCTTTCCCACCAAGCCCATCTCCTCCGACAAGAGATTGATTACCAAGCAGCCCAAGGAAGAGACCATCTTCTTTCTCTTTCCTCCCTTTATCTACGTCTTCACCATTGTGTCTATACATACATATGTATATATATTGTGTTAATCTCTTTCGAAAGTCCAGAGTTTGGAAAAATTAATCTATTTCAAACAATTGTACATATATATTTTTTTATCTTGGAAAAATTAAGCTGGTGGGTGGGTTTTGTTCAAGAAGCTTGGTGATTGGTGAATTTGGAGGAGAGAGGCTTGGAAGTTTGGAGTGTGATTGACGACAATAGGTGAGATTAAAGAATATATATAGTGATAATACATTAAAAAAAAAACACACTCTTGTAATATTAAACAAGTACAGATTGAGTATTGCTTTATTCTTCGGTGTAAACAGAAGGGTGCTCTTTGTCTAACTAAGCCATTGTCTGACACTGTTAAATAAATGTCAACATGACATAAATAGTTCATATGAGCATTAAAGTCTAAGTATTGTTAGTGCTGCAATCATCTTAACTGTTTTTATCATTACTAGTCTATTCGTTTGCAGTGCTCTGTTTTTGCGTTGTTGAGCTGGGAAATGATACTTAACCGAAAACTGAAAAACATTGGCACAACATCAGCATTGAGGATTTCTTTATGGTATTATTCTTATTAACTCTTTATAAATTCACATTTAAATATATGATTATTTAGATATAAAGAAAATAAAGGAAAAAAGAACTGATTATTAATAGGCATATTAAGTTAATATATACTGTTTAGATGGGTATTCGTGTAACAATGTTATGTTAATTCTAATAATTAAATGAATGACTCATTAATCTGATATTTTATTTTATTTTTCATCCACTCATAACGATTGAAATCAACTGAAAATATATATGAAATAATAAATAACCAGTACATTTTTTAAAGAAAATATATCTAGATAGAGTAAGTAAACTTAAAATAAATTATAAAATTATTATATTTTATAAAAATTAAAGTATAATAATAAAAAACGGTTATTAACACATTTAATTATCATGAGTGTGTTTTGTTCTCTTTTATCATCTATAAAATGAACACAAATTCTCATTTCATAAGAGTCTTTCATCAATAAAATTTTAAAATTTTTGTGCATAATAACTAGAGAGAAGAAGTGAGTCAGATAATTAAAGATTTTATCTAGAGATCTCTCAATCACGCTATATTTATATTATATTCGAATAGTGTCTAGTTTTAATTTTTTTTTTATTTTTTTTTTCTTAATATATGTTGAATTTAATAAAAATAAATTTCGCGTTAAATATTCTTATAGTTGGTATCAAAGCAGGTTGAATTCACACATTTTAAAATTTTTAGGCTAACAGCTTGTGTATATGTATTATTACACTAACAATTTATTTATGTATATATTATTGCATTAATAGTTTATATATATGTATATATTATTACATTATCAGTTTATATGTATATTATTACACTAATAATTTATATATATATATATTATTCACTATATGTATATATTATTACACTAACAGTTTATATATATATATCATTACATCAAGAGTTTATAAATAAATGTATAT